ATCTCTGAGACACAATATGTCGCACACAGGGTGTCACAATATTTGCAAAGTGTTTTCAGTAGAAAAAGAGAATACAGAAATAAAACAATATAGAAATAAAACATACCCTATTATTTTGCTTCTGAATTTCTCAAGTATGCTTGTTAATTTTATTTGGTGTATAACTTCCAGGGAAAGATTTTCATATTATTCACAAAAAGAGAAAGAGCTGGACAACAGTATATGTGAAAACTTCCACATCTCCTAACTTTTCCTCTATTGGTCTGGCAAAGATTTAAAAAGACTAAGAATCCTCAGAGCTGAGCAGACTGAAGGGAAGAACTGTACTCTTCACTATGTTGATGGCCATGATGTAAACTGATACGATTTTTCTGGAGGGCAATTTGTCAGCCCTTAACAAAATTTTACAGATATAAACCTATCTACTCAGAAGTTCCATGTCAACCCATTTAGCCTCAGGAAATAATTATACAAGTATAGGAAATATGTAATTGTAAGGATATTCATCACATCAATGATTATAACAGAAATACTGGCAACAGCTTAAATGTCCAACAACAGGAAACTAAATTTGGTATATATATACAGTGGAATACCCTGTAGCCTCAATAATTCTAATGCAACTACATATTTATTGAGCAATATTAAGTGTTTGGTGAAAACAGAATATTAGGCAAAAAGTAATTCTAAAAGCAGGAGCAATAGGGCCCAATATTTATTTATATATTTGTGAGTATGCATACAACATATTTATATGCAGAGAACAAAAGTCTCAAAGGAGATATACAAAATGGCATGAATAATTAATTTTTGGGTTAGGATTATAGGTAATTAAAATTTTTTCCTTTTGCTTATTTTCAATTACTTTTTATTCTATAACAAATATGTAGACTTTGTAGAGTAAAGAACATTAAAATATTTACACACTGGACTTATAAAAAAGTGTAGGTTTTGAGCACAGGAGTAATTATCTATAATATGAATAGGAAAATGTAATCCCCAATAAGATAAAAAGCAATTTCTAGTTTACAAATAAATAGATACCTGAATTATAACACTGAAATATTATGTCTATACTGAAAAAAATACAGTATTAAAAAGCTTTGGGATATACCAGAAATTTATTATGCTTTTCTTTTGGCCATATTATTCTTAGATAGTTTCATTAAATGGATATTTTCCCATAGAAATAATATTATCATTGATGGCTAAATATTCAACTGAAGACTTGGCATCAGATACCGCAGATACAATTAACAAGGTTGTACAAACAAGAATGCTGTAGGTTTAGTAAGACAGCATAAACATATTGATTATACAAAATTAATGTAGTGAGAATCGTACTCGGATGCAGCATTTCCAAATGTAACTAGTACTTGACCTATTTAAAACCAGCATACTAAATTTAATGGACATTAAATACTCAATTAAAAATTGTTTTGCTTGCCTTATTAAAATTTAGATGGATTTTGGAAGAAATGATTGGAATGGCTTGTCTGATTTTGAAAAATCAGCTAGTTGAGTGTGGGATTTTCAAACTAAAGAAGTCCTACTCCCAAAAGTTCCTATGGCTTGAAGAGGCATCCAAATCACTCCACTGACACTTACATGATGTATTTGAGCACTGTAGTATTTATTTTTTCCCACATTTTAAGTGGTAGAGGTTTATTTATTGATATTTTTAAACTGAAAAACATGGCTAAATGGCTTATTATGTCAAAGTATTTATTTTGAGCATGAGGGCATTTAAAGTCCTCACCTAGGATTCCAAGTGTAAGATTTTGGGGAAAAGTCACCTCATGGATCCCATTACGCTATATTCTAATTTTATGGTATGGATATCTGACAACCATCAGGCAGCCAGTCAGATTTATTTGTGAACCTCTGGCCTCACTAACACTTCTCTCTGACACCTACTACTATCTGGGTTCATTCTTCAGAGTATTGGGAAATGGATCATTAATCAAACTATGTGGCTAAGGCTGATGAAAAAAGAACAAAGGGTGACGGCAACAGAGGAAAAGCACCAAGACAATGCCAAATGCAGACTACTTAGAATAACAGGAGACTAGAAAGGCATGGACATGGTACCTCAAAACTATTAAATAATAAAAGTGTTTGTTTTAGCTAACAGCTTTCAAGACACCCACAACCCCCACCAAAGAGCATATCTGTCTACAAAATCTGGTTTCTAAAACTGATAAATTAGGGGATGATAATTTGCTCTGAAAACCTTCCCACGGGTGCACATTTAAGTGTGCATTTAAATTGTGATTTGAGTTACCAAAGTTTGATTTTTCCTTTGTCCTAAGAGATTGTTTAATCAAATTCATTCAGTGGTGGAGCTTAATTTTTTTCTGGTAATATTTTGATAGGTAATAATTCAGCTTTTTAAAAAACAGAAATATTAGCAAATAGTTACTCCCAGGAAAGGGAAGCCCACTGTCTCAGAAGTCGAGCTATTCAAAAACAGACTGTACAGCTGTGGATCAGATATTCCCCATAAGAATTAACATCTACTTCCCTGTGACACCCTCCTGTTTCTATTTTTGTCCCATCCAGCCATCCAGAGTAAGGTCTAAACCCTAACCCACACCACAGTTCCTGAAACATTTGAGGACAGATACTACATTCCTCCTAGTCCTATTTTTACTGGTGAACATCTCCAGGTTAACAGCGGAAAGTACATCGTCTGTAAAGTCAGATTTCAGTAAATTCTTGGTTGTCTACCAGAAACCTCTCTAAGCCTCACCTAAGTTTCCTCATCTGTGAAAGGGAACATCTAACCCTTTGTGGGGTGTTTTAGAAAAGAAAGGAGTTGGCAAGGCTGATGTCCACTGTAGTGTTTTACCCAACGAAGCAGCTCAGGAATGTGGATGACTCTTTCTCCAGCTTAATCTTGTTTATTCTTCTTAAAATGAAGAGCTTAGAAGTGAATGAAGCCCTCCAGATACAGCGCAACTGGTGCAGAGTTCTGGGGATTGAAGTCCCGAAAATGTCACCGTAAGGCTTCAGGAACCTTAAGTTCCCAAAGAATTTTAGTCAGCTAAAAGCCCACAAGTTTTATTTACATGAACATGAAGTAGGTCTCTCTTTCCTGTCTTGTATCATGATTTCCTTCTTTTTTTTTAAATTTTTTTTTTCAACGTTTATTTATTTTTGGGACAGAGAGAGACAGAGCATGAACGGGGGAGGGGCAGAGAGAGAGGGAGACACAGAATCGGAAACAGGCTCCAGGCTCTGAGCCATCAGCCCAGAGCCCGACGCGGGGCTCGAACTCACGGACCGCGAGATCGTGACCTGGCTGAAGTCGGACGCTTAACCGACTGCGCCACCCAGGCGCCCCTATGATTTCCTTCTAATTCTCACTGAAATACTACACATTTAGTCATGTTAAATTCCATCCTGTTAGTTTCAGGCCATTCTTGCAGTCCATCCAAGCCTTTTTGGAAACAATTATTTTATCTAACTTATCAGTTCCCTCTTCTAGCTTAAATCTACACATTTCTGTCATGCCGAACGTGGATAAGCCCACAGATTTTCTGAGATGCGTATTTCGGATGTAGAGAACAGCCTGCACCAGACTCACAAGCTGCACAACTCCCTGATCTGAACTTTTCCTCCTCTTCCCTGCTCTGTCCTTCCTCTACTGAACAGGCTGTCCGAGAAAGGTCCTCGCATCACTGGCAGTGCAGGAACTACTCCAGGTGATTTATGGGCTCGGTCCCAGTAGAATGAAAGACATAAGGTTCCCTTCCAGTAAAAGGAGAAAGTAAATATTAGACACACGACTGCTTCATTGCTGAAAACCAACCTAATGCAGGAATGGGTGGTCACCGGTGCCACCAGCTCTGTCAGCTTGGATAAAATGTATTGTGTGATGTAGAAAAGAACATGGGCTTTGGACTCCAACTTCCTGGGTTCAAATACGGACACCACTATTTGCATGCTGTGTAATACTGGGACAGTTACTTAGTTTCTCTGTGCCTTGGTTTCTTCTTTAGTAAAATTATACTTGTTACTTTTGCTTTGATATCCAAGCATCAGTGGAAAGGAAGGAAGGAAGAGAGGGAAAAAAGGGAGTGAAGGTAAGAGGGAGGGAGAGGAATTACAGAAATCCATGGTAAAGGCAGTTTTATTTTCACTTTTTAAAACTGTGCACTCCAACATACATCTCAAGTAAGTTTTATTTCCCTCTGCAATGAGGGGTTAAGTCAGGTCAAATAAGAATTCTTTTTTGGTGGCCAATGCACAGAGTCAGTATTTTTAGGGTCTTTTCCTTTTCAAAGTGGAGAATGAATTAAAACCCATCAAATCATCAAATGACTGACTTACAGACAGTAGAAAGGAATGTGAAGAATTCTTAAAGTGTATAGTTTTGTCTTATATAAGTGTAAATTTCCTATGTTCATTAATTAGTCATTTACATTAACCAACTATTACAAATACTTCTTTAATAAATTCTCTTGGCATCATTTTTCAGCCTTTGTGGGTCACACTTTCCATTCTAGCACATGTGTAGTTCATGTGAGCAGCTGAACTTTCAAAACTCCAAACTCCATAGCTGGAGTACCCTAAGTACCCTAAGACCTGAGTAGTGGGACTCCCTCTGCATTTAGTCTGGCTCCTGGGCTCGGTTCTGGCTCCAGCTTCAGGCTGTGTCTGGTTTTCTGGGTTCCAAGGCTGGCAAAGGCCCAATCTCACTCACCTAGTTCCACCCATTACATGCTGTTTTATGTTACATTACAACATAAACCACAGAAAGGAGACGCTGAGAAAGGATGAGAAAAATCAATGAAATATGAGTGAGGGGTTGGGGTAGGGATATAGCCTATAATTTTTCACATTCTGTTTCCTTTTAAATACAATTAGCCCTGGAAATCTGTCTGTGTTAACAGAATAGACATGCATTCCTAGATATGTATATTTAAGAATATGTATATGTGTATACATATACAACAGTACATATTGCTAAAAATGGATGAATACTTCATACTGACCTTAGGGGGTTTAAACGGATAGTCTGGTGAAAAGGTAATGTCAAGAAAGAACACCCCTCCTTCATAGACAGATCCTGGGGGTCCCAATATAGTTGACCTCCATTCATAAATGTTGTCTCCTTTGGGTCCAGCACTGAAATAAGACATACAAATGAAATGTGCTTAGAGATTATGTAAACCCTGAAATTAAAAAAAAATTCTATTTTGGTAACAATAAATTGAGCAATTGCAATAAAACACAACAAGTAGGATAATTCTATATGATGGTTCACTTGTCAGTATCATCAATATTCTATAAAGAAAAGATGTTGGTATTACTTAATAAAACAGAATCAGGAAGATTCTGTTTTGCCATCCACAATCCTGTACCTATTGAACAAAAGATTCCTAGGACCAAAGACCAGAGGTAGAAGCACAAATGTTTAATAAAGCATGACATTATTTGTGAGGTCTTAAAAAAGATGATTTGGTCATAGAGTGAAAGAGACAAATTTTTGAAGACAGAAGGGCCACTAGAGAAAATAAAGTCTAATAAAAAATAATCTAATCCGTCTGTTAACAACTGAGAATACAAATGAGGTTCATAGAGATCAGTAAATGTTCATCATCCATAAAATTCAGCTCAAGTATCATATCCCACGTGAATCTTCCTCTTTTCTCTTTTCCCGCCAAAGAATCTCTGCTCCCTTGGCCCTCATGTATCATGAATAGTGTGGCCTGTAGAAAACAAGATGTATTTCATTTTATAACAATGTTTTTAATTAAAAAATGTTTTAGGGGCGCCTGGGTGGCGCAGTCAGTTAAGCGTCCGACTTCAGCCAGGTCACGATCTTGCGGTCCGTGAGTTCGAGCCCCGCGTCGGGCTCTGGGCTGATGGCTCAGAGCCTGGAGCCTGTTTCCGATTCTGTGTCTCCCTCTCTCTCTGCCCCTCGCCCGTTCATGCTCTGTCTCTCTCTGTCCCAAAAATAAATAAACGTTGAAAAAAAAAAATTAAAAAAAAAAAAGTTTTAAAGTAAGTTCTAGGCCCAACGTGGGGCTTGAACTCACAACCCCGAGATCCAGAGTTGCATGCCCTACCAACTGAGCCAGACAGGCACCCCCATAAACTGTATTTTTAAAGTGTTTACTTTTTCTGCCACTCCCTAGAAGTTCCTTGAGGAATAGATTTTTGCCCCGTCTTAAGGCCTAGTAAGTACATTTTGTTTGATGATGATGCATTAATAGGAAAGCAAGTGAAGCCACATGGCGACTAGCGATAAACATCTGTCTCTGACTCTCAGAGAAACTCGCTGAGGAAACTAATGCCCACATGAGTCACAGGAATTGCAATCTCTCAGGTGAACAAAAGGACAAAATGAGATTATAATTCAGCTTTTCAGTGTTCTTTTTGCTACATCAAGCTAATACCTACATCTAATAGCCACAAATTCCCCTCATGTCCAGTAGCAAACCCTTTGGGGAGGATTTTATTGTCAACAAAGAGTTAGTTACTACTTTTTCTTATTTTGAAATTAGTTTAGATCTACAAAAACTTCATTGTTGAGCAGTGTAGCACAAAAGCATGCATCTTAATTAAGTTGGGATATGCACTGGAAATGCAAGGATAGTTTAATAATAGAAAATCATTAATGTAATTTACCTAAGATATTAAAGTTGGAAAAAAAAGGGATAATCTCAATGGGTGCAGGAAAAGCACTCAATAGGCTTTAATAATAGCCATTTATGACAAAGAAACTTTTTAGCAAAAGTGGAATAGACAGAAACTTCTTTAACCTGATAAAGAATATCTACCAAAAACCTCACAGCAACTAATATATTCAGTGGCAAAATACCAAAAGTATACCCTTTAAAAATTGAGGAACAAGATAAGGTCACCCACTACATATACTTCTAATCAATACTGTATTAGAGATCATATCCATCAAGGTATGGAAGACACAAGGAAGGAAAAAACAAAAGGTATGGATTGAGATGGAAAAAATAAAACTGTGAGCATCTGCAGTATTTATGTACACAAAAAAATCTATATAAAATTTATTAAACTTAATAAAAGAGTTTATAAAGTGGCTAGATATAAGATCAATATGAAAAGCCAACTGAATTTCAACACACTAACAACATTAGAAAATATATTTTTAAATATCTTGTAATAGTATTAGAAACACACACACAAAAAACCTATGAATAAGTTTCATAAAAATATGTAAGATTTTTTTGAAGAGAATTAAATAAATGGAGAGTTTATGAGTAGGGAGATCCAGCATCCTACAGATGTCAATTTTCCCCATATTGATCCAATGCAATTCCAATCAAAAGTGTAACAGTTATTTAAAAAATGAAACTTGATGGGGAGGCTCGGATGGTTAAGCATCCAACTCCTGGTTTCGGCTGAGGTAATGATCTCATGGTTTGTGGGATTGAGCCCTGCATTGGGTTCTGAACTGATAATGAGGAGCCTGCTTGGGGTTCCCTCTCTCTCTCTCTCTCTCAAAATAAATAAAAATAAACTTATGAAAAAATTAAACTTGACAACTTAGTTCTAAGATGTGCTTGGAAGCTCAGAGAAAATCATCAAACTTTTCTGCACACTTACAGGAATCTGATATATGTCAGAAGTGATGGGGCTAAGCAAACAGTTTTTGTATATGACAAATAGAAAAACTGGATTTCTACTTCAATAAATATACAAACCCTGTTGTAGATGGATTAAGCACTTCAATGCAAAAGTCAGAAGTTTAAGAGGTTGCCTAAAGAGAATGGCAAGCCACAAACTAAGAAAAGACATTTGGATCATATAAAATTGATCAAATTCTAGTGTCCAGTATACGGATTCCTGTGAATCAAAAAGAAAAAGACTAGCAATAACTTAGAAAAGACATAAATAGGGGCGCCTGGGTGGCGCAGTCGGTTGAGCGTCCGACTTCAGCCAGGTCACGATCTCGCGGTCCGTGAGTTCGAGCCCCGCGTCGGGCTCTGGGCTGATGGCTCAGAGCCTGGAGCCTGTTTCCGATTCTGTGTCTCCCTCTCTCTCTGCCCCTCCCCCGTTCATGCTCTCTCTCTGTCCCAAAAATAAATAAACGTTGAAAAAAAATTAAAAAAAAAAAAAAAAGAAAAGACATAAATAGGCATTTCCAAAAAAGAGGAAACATGAATTGCCAATAATCATATGAAAAATATTCAATTTCATTAAATTATGGAAATGAAAACTTCAAATTACAGTTTAATATTATTTTACACTATATACAGGCAAAAATAAAAGCGTGACAAAATCAACTGTTGATGAGGATGTGGAAAAACAAGAACTCCTATACGTTGTTGAAGAGTGCTCAATCACTTTGGATAAGAACGTGGACTTTAGGTTGAATCTATATACTCCTGTGTTACAACATTTCAATTGCATTCCTAGGTACATACCACAGAGAAATTTTTACACATGTGCACCAGAAGACATATACAAGAATGTTCATGGAAACACTATTTGTAATAGCAAAACTGGAAACAACACAGATGTCCATTGACAGAAAAAGGAATAAATTCATCCAAAGGAATACTACAGAGTGAAAATACACTGATTAACATGGAAAATCTTAAAAATATCAGATTGAATAAAAAAAGCAAGTCTAAAGAAATATATACAATATGATATAGCATTTTCATCAAGTTTAAAAATATATTGTTGAGGACACATACATATGTGGTGTGGCAAGAAAATGAAAGAGAACAAAGCTCCAAAGAGTAGTTTCTTGTGTAGAATCAGATGGTAGAGGAGAAGCATCTAGGAGCTGCAATGGTTCTGATGATGGTCTACTTTTCAGTATGTATGGTGGATTCAGGAGTTACCTGTTTCATTACTAGGTCTCATAATTTACTTACGTGTTAGATATGTTCTTAGATATGTACCAAGTTTTTGTATTAAGAACAAGTGTGCCAAAAAAGTCTATCAAAATCATACATGAAGAAAGTAAGATGCAGCATATGTGCAGTGTGATCCTATTATATAAACTAGAAGCATAAAACAGTATTTTATATATTGTTTGTGGACACACATATATGTCCACGTCTTTAAAGAAATGAACTAAAAAAGACAGACCTAAATTCATGAGAGTGGATGTGCAGGGAACAGGAGAGAGGTGTAGGGCGATTGATGGGATAGTTCTGAAAATGGGGAATGAAGAAGAGTTTAATCAAACATTTTTTTTTTAATGTTTATTTTTGAGAGAGAGAGAGACATAGAGTCTGAGCAGGGGAGGGGCAGAGAAAGAGGGAGACACAGAATCTGAAGCAGACTGTGATTTGGTGTGTGAGCTGTCAGCACAGAGCCCGACGTGGGGCTCAAACTCATGAACCATGAAATGGTGATCTGAGCCGAAGTTGGACACTTAACTGACTGAGCGAACCACCCAGACTCCCTGAAGCAGAGTTCAATTTTGTCTCTAGTTTCGATCTCTCTTATTTAAAAAGGATGAAGTAAAAAGATAAAATCAGATCACAGTGTATTGCAAAGTACTGAAATATGTTGAGAAGCAGGGCACGCACCCCTGCCGCATCCTCTTTACCTACCTCTCCTGAAGCTGACAGTGAGGTACAGACAGAATGTACCGAGGCCAGATGACAATAAAGCTTTGGCAACAACAGCTCCTTGTTGCCAGACAAGCTCACTCATTCAGATGAATAATGCACATGGTTACGCCTTGAGCTATAATTAGACTCAATATGAATAGATAAGTTTATCAGAAGGAAGAACTTAAAAGTAGAGTAAATTATAGGTTTGTAGTTACAACATTACTTCAAGGAGGATGAAGAAATTTAGCTGAAAAAACACACACAGAACACAGCTATGAAACAATGTGCGTAGACATGTTTCCACAATACCAAGACGCAATTTTTCTGAGTCATTTGAGAAATTTTAAGATGATCTTCCAAGAATGGTCATCACAGTTAATTATATAATTTGGGCTGAGGAGGAACCAAATAGTGCCACCAAGGAAGGGACTCAGAAGCAGAAGTCAGGAGACGTCTCACAAAAGCAGCCGCTGTCTGTAAATAATTTACATTTAATTAGTGCACATTTTAGGTTTTATTTGGTTCTTAGTCAGAATACCAAATTTTATTGGTTCTTTGAAGTCAGTCAGC